ACGGTCATACCTGCGTCTTCTGTATATACCTATCTTGGCCTAAAAGTGTGAGGACTGAGCTACTACGGATTCCCTTTTGATGAAAACAGTGGTAACGTCTGGGGGGAAGGGCCATAGTAATCTGTCAGATTGACTACTCCACATAGATGGACACAATTGCATTGAGTGATGTTCGGAACATTGAAATGTGCAGGGTTAATTTGGCTTACGGTCTTCCTAGAGGAGATTTTATAGCAGAAACAGGAGGGCGATTGTATAATAATTGGGCCCAAGGGATAGCTCATGGATAAATAGATTATATTATAGGTTGGAATTTTTCGCATAAAGTAGCAGTTTGAAGTTCGGAGGATTGTCGCTGGAATACTCTCGTGGGGGGCTCAGGGACCAACAGGAATGGAAACTGTAAATTTAGATTATTTTGAGCAAAACAGTACAGCGAGAAAACACAATTTCCAGAGACTTGTAGGTGCTGTCTGTATATGCCCCCTACTACGGATTAAGCAGTAAAAGCACTTGAACAAAAAAGACCCTAGATGAGGACAATCGGGTTGCATATCGCATAAAGATGCCTCTTTTGAGGGAGCGGAGTCCGGTGGTATGCAATTTTACAATCGTTTTTATATATCCTTGAACAACCAAATATAGCTTATAGAAACAAATTCACAATATATTGTTTTTTGTATTCATTTAGTAGAAACCCAGTCCCTCTTAAAAAAATATACGTTAAAAAATATATATCTTTTTGTTTATAAGAAAGCTCTCTAAATTGCTTAATAACAATGGACCCTCCAGTCCGTTACAAGTGCATCGGAAATTTCCAAACCACATGCTGTATACGTTTTCTCTACGCTATAAAGAAGGGGTCACAGGGCCTTCACATATTTTACAATTTATGTAAACCATATCGCGTACTTTCTAGGCAACCTTAATAAACTTATGGATATGGTGTATTAGGAATCAATTTTTCACTGTCTTCAAAGTATGTTAATCCGAAAATATTTTTTAGCCAAAAGGTATTTTTCTTCAAAAAAGAACAAAAAATAATATTTTGTGTATGTTTTCGATAAAATATTTTGTAAATTTATAGGTGATGTCATATTGTAGGTCTCATTTCTTACGGAGCATGCTTCTACAAGCACCCAGAAAGAAGTTCGTTCAAATGCCGGCATGTGAAGGTGATTGAAAATTTGGAGAAAAGGCTACATGATAACCAAACTTGGAACAGTTCTTAAGTAGTTTGTTCGAATTTTTACCAAACAGAGCGCGGACGAGTGCATGTGATTATGGGCCACGCCAAAAGTTGAGCTTGTAGGATGTTCTTTTGTACACACATCTCCAGCTTCAGCAACCTGATAGCGGTCGCTTCTGCTGTTACTAGCAGGCGCTGACCCAGGGACTTTGGATAGTTTGGTGGGGCCTTATAAATCACTCAGAAGTCTTCGTTGGAGTCCACCCGATGTCCAGAATCAAGCGTGTGCGAGCATTTATCGAGAGCCTACGTAGGACCGCCAAATACTCTTCTGAATTTTATGGACCAGTTGCTTTGCGTGATTTTGAGTCAGTTGTGTGTCCAGGTGGGCATTCTTATGCAGCCTCTTTCAGCATTTAATCGGCAGTAGGAATTCAGGCAAGGCCCTCCTATTGCTAAAAGTTCACCGACCGCTCACTAACTTGTCCAACTTTGCCCTGCCCAGGGCCTCATTTCTCGGACCCTGACAGCAGCCATGCCCACCAGACCTTCCTAAACAATGTGTTGTTGCCAGCTTACCCTCGCCCCCGCCCTCTGAAAACATTTAAGTCTACTTTGGTTTGAGTGGGCAACCTAATTTAATTCGCCGGTCGATTGCCG